GTAGGGGACAAACACATTCCCTTCTTTCTCATTTTTGAACTTATGTTAAGGGGACCAGATTCATCTTCCGTATCTCAGGATGTTCCTCCAGATGATAGTGTTTTGGTAAAGGGGGGCCCTAACAATGGGAAAAATCAAATCTGGTTTTAACAACTGGGTAGAGTAGCTGTAGGAACATTTGCTCATTCATTCAATAAGTATGTAATAAGCATATTTATTAAGTAATAAGTAAGTAATAAGCACACTTATTAGTAAGCAGTAAGTACAAGGCAGTGTGCTAGGGACCTAAGAGCTCTGGAAGTATAAGGCTTTGTAGGAAAATATCCAAAATACGTGGGCTAGGGACGGAGCCAAGACGGAGGTGTAAAAGCAGTGACTACATGGGCCAGAGAGGTTCTGCCTAACAAGTGTTAGGTCACAGTGGTTGGCTTCAACATATGCAATTAGAACTCTTTTTTGTAGAAGGTTAGCTTTTCCCTTTCCAAATTATATTAATGAGCAAATTAGTCTCATAGGATGCATGGGCCAGGATGTTACACTAGCTTCTGTGTGATCTACCTTAAGGTGGCTGTGATAAAGCTATGATAAAGGGTAGACATGAAAGCAAAGGGTGGAAACATGTTGAGGAGGAGGGATAAAAGGAAGACTATGGTCCTATCAGGTGGCTCCCTTCTCCTCACTGTATCAGAATACAAGGGTATTTGTTACATATACCTCTTTCTTACTGAGGACACCTTCCCTGACCTTCACCTTGACACCTTTGAATGGAAAAGCATGGCAGAAAAGGCCCTTCAAGCCATCTGCTGTTTTCTAAAGCTTGGGGTTAGAGAAGGGAATGAGGATTATGGGGAAAGAGAAAAGATGTATTAGAAAGATATGTGTGGTGCCCTAGAGAAGGTACCATGCACTTCCACATCCTCTGACTAGTAACAAATAAATCTCTTTAGGGGAATTAAATGGCTGTAGACTACAGTGGATGGTAGGACCATACTATAGTCCTACACCTTGATAGGGAGCTTTCAGCTTTTCAGACATTGGTATAACTTACTAAGGTTTTCAAAGTGTTCAACATTCATTATCTCATTTGATCCTTACAACAAATCCTGTGAGGCAGCAGCTTTATTAGCCCCATTTCACAGATAAGGAGACTGAGGCAGAGAGTCTAAGTAACTTGTCTACAATCATATAGTTATTAAATATGTGGGGGAGGAGGGAAAGGGGAAGGGAGATAAGAATAGGTCTTCCTAATTCCAAGGCCAATGCCCTATCTACTTCCTCGTTGAGGGCAGGGTCCATTTGATTTTATCTTCCTATCCCTCCAGTGTTTTGCATATAGTTGTCACTTTAATAAAGCTGATGATAAAGTTATTTAATACCTCTTTGGTGAATTCAGCTACAGTAGAGCCAAAGCTGTTAAGACATCTGCTTAAGCTCTCCATTGTTTTATTCTGTGCCTGGCCACAATAATCCGGTTTCCTTTCTCAAGGAGTTGGAAGAAGACAATGAGATAAGCTGGGGGGGGGGGGGGGGAAGCAGCTGTGGTGCACCAAATTATAGCAGATGTGATGGAGTGACTTAAGTCTGGGAATCTGCAAAGTCCTCAGTTTATAGAGAAAAGTGAGGATAAACTTTACCCTATCTACCTATCTACTTTTTTCTTTTTTGGAAAGAACTTTAAGAAAACACATGTTCTCCTTATTATGGAGAGGTGAACAAAGCTTCCATTTTCAGGACCAGAAAAGCAACACAACCTAAGGGTTGGCTGAGACTTCAGTCTTCTGGTGGAAAACAGCTTGAAAGCTACCAAATGCACTTTACTCTCTTTTTGCGTTTTGAGACTGGGTTTCCTCATTCTCTCCAGACTGGTTGCAAGTTCACCAGCCACTGATCCCCCTGCTGACTGGCACAAAGCTTTGGCTTCTTTCATCTCTGACCTGAGTAGGTTTATCCTTCCTGCTCTCAAGGATGCACCATCATGGTGGCAAATGTAGGGTGGCCACCCAATCGACTTCAGCCCTAATGAATGTCAGAATTCCCCAAATTGGTATCCACCAGTCTCAGCCTCCCCCATTAGCAGGGATTGCAGGTGTGAACCACAACACCCAGCTGCAGTTCATTTTCAAATGAAAAATACTTGAAAGCAGTAAAGACAAGAAAGTGATATGCAACTAGTAATAAAATCATGCAGTAGCAAGTAGGAGGCTGTTTTTTTAAAATGAACCCTAACCCTGTTCCCCCAACAATTCTAACTCCAGTTGAGCCATTTGTACAGGAGAAGAGTGAAAGCTACCGACTTAATTACTAACTCCAATTACCATGTGGTTGGTTGGTTAAGTGCCCATATCAAAGCAGACAAGAAGCCATGACAACAAGCTTTTGATAGGTCCAAGAGAAATCAGTCTTGCCTTTCCAAGTTTAACAATTATTACCCACTTACCTATATCGTGTGCCTCTCTGTAACCCTCTGTATAGAGGGTTATGCCCATTCTAAATAGCTATTCCTTGCAATAACATTTGGAATAAAAGGTTATTCATTATTATACACACTCTATCAACAGGAACCAATCTTAACACAAAAAAATCTATAATGGGAAATTATTTTTTCCAATTTCCTCATTTATAGAGATGAGAAGCACCAATGAGAATTTTCAGACATGAACCTTGAGGCAATCAATGCCTGTGCATGACATCAGCAGGTTTATTACTGCAGTCATCAGAAGCTGGGCTCAGGAAGCTGTCTAGGGAATTCTTTAAAAAAAAAAAAAAAAGACACACTTCTGTCCCCTCCTCTTGATCTCCGACTTTACAGGTAAGCATAGTGCCTGGTACATAATAAGCACTTCATAAATTGCTTGATGACTGCCCAAAGTTCAAGAGGGGAAAAAAAAGAAAAGAAAGAAATCTCAAGATGAAATGGTCACCAGCTGCCATGAAATTTTAGGCAAGTCATGTTCAATGTTTCTCAAGCAAATGGAGGTGAGAATCTCCCAGACTAACATGACTGTGGAGGGGGCAAACGCCTCTTTACAGAATGAAGAAATCATAGGGAAAAGTAACAGAGGAAAACTACAAAAGGTGTGTCACAGTAGAAAGAACCTTAGTTTGGGAGTAAGAAGACCTAGGTTTGAGTTATCACTGTACCTACCAGCTATGTCACCTTGGCTAAGGTGCTTCTGTGGAATCTGGCCCCAGAAGATGGAACTAGAAACAATGAATGGGTATAAATTGCAAAGAGGAGAATTTACACTTGGGGTAAGGAAAAATTCACCAACAATTAAAGGGTAACAGGGATGGGGACCAGATGTCATGTAATAATAATAATGATAACTATAATAATGATACATCTCCCAAGTGAGGAAACTCCTCTTACAAATGGAGGTAAACACAATTCTAGGTGCCCCAAAATGGAAAGAACTGCTTAACAAAGGCTAGAATAACCACTTGCTGGGGATGATGTAGAAGGGATTCATGGTCAGCTATGAGCTGGACTAGATGGTCTTTGATATTTCTCCCAGCTCAGATTCTGCAACTGTTTCCTCATCTATAGCTGGACGAAATGATCTCTCACAAGGCTTTTTTGTGTTAAAACTCTTCAACTATGATGGCAGGTGATGGATAAAGTTACCAACTCAACAGGAGAATTACTGCATTATTTAACAGGATAAGAGGTGATGATCCTATAAAGACATTGTTACAGGTGTCAGCATATGAGCACAAGGACAGCATGACTGTGACCAGATAAATTTAGTAGGTGGATTACTGCACACCATCTTATAACTCATGCACAGCTTTAAACAAGCTCCTTTCTAGGACTCAGGAACTTCAGTGATGCCTCCATTTATGCAATTACATTTTTGGTCAGGAGGTAAGGGTATCACCTGGGAGGGGAGTGGCATCACCCTTCAGCCATAACTGTCTAACCCAGAGGTGGGATACCTGCTGCCTCAAGGCCACATAGCCTTCCAAGTCCTCAAGTGCAGCCTTTTGACTGAATCCAAACTTCACAGAACTTAATAAAAGGAATTGTTTGTAAAACTTGGACTCAGTCAAAAGGCCATATGTGGCCTTGAGACCACAGCTTTCCCATCCCTGGTCTATCCTATATGCTACAAAAGTTTGCTTTATATGGCAGTTTATTGCAGCTGAATGAGAGTGAATGCTTTAAATTTCAATTTAATTGAAATGTAATAACTTGCTCTCTTCTACAAGGACAGGCAAACCAATTTTAGTTCTCTCCTTTCCACTCTCTGATGTAATCCTGTGGGAAAGGCTCTGGCTCATTCACTAATGTTTACATAACTGAAGGAGAAATTTTTCAATGAGGTCTTTTTGAAGCTTCAGATATTCTTCACAAGTGATATTTCAGACAGTATATGGTCATTTGGATTTAAATTTTTTGGGTTCCCCACCCCTGTTCTGTTTTAAAATGAAAAGCTGATTGATACTCATGGAGTAAACTCCAAGTGATTTATGGATACCTTGCTAAAGGTGGCAGTGCCCGAAAATAATTTCTGTGAAACATATTGATTTAGATATTTAAAAAATTACGTATTTAAAGTCATTGAGATCTGGAGAGCTTTAGAATACTGGATGTTAAAATCAAACTTGCTGTTTCATAGCAGAAAATTACAATCCTGTATGAAGAAGATAGGCCTAAAATTAGAAAAGTTAGAACATACATACACCTCTACAAACAACTAAAAAATTGTTACATATCAAAAAATTTAAGTTGTAAAAATAAAGATGACAACTTGATTTGGGAAAATGCTACAAGATTAAGAGTAATATTAGCTCAGCATGCTAAAAGATGAAATGTCTTCATAATTACATTGCAGTTATGGAAAAAAAAAGGTTCTTTTAAAAGTTAGGCTTAGAACATACCTACAAAAGGTTTACTACTCAGTAACACTCCAAAAACATTAGTAACACTGGACACTGATAAATAACAAAGTGCTTTTTGCAGACTTACAATCACACGTAAAAGCCCCAAGACTGTTTACCTCTCTTTCTCTTTCAGTCTTAGAGAGCTGCATCTGCTTCAACATCTGGGATCTCTGCTCCATCAATAATGTTTTTTCATAGGTAAAAGCTGAAATATCATTTTCAACCTACAAGATCAAGAAATAAAGCAAATATAATGTTTTATAAATAAAAAGTTCTCATTTGTGACAATGACATTTTCCATGAAAAATATTCCTATAGAATATTACCCTATCTCACTTGTTTTTCAGAAGGTGACTTAAAAAGTAGGGGGAGGAACCCTTATACTGTGACTGCCCACATTCTTTCATCCCTTTCCATAGCTTCCCTATTGGCACTGGTGGCCCCTCAGAAATGGATTCAAAAGGATTGAAAGGCACCAGTATGGGCAGGTCTAAAGTGTTCTCTCCTCTCCTCTAATACAACACCCTAAAGAGGCCAACTAGATCGATACATGAAGTCTAGGTAACCAAGTCCAAATGTAACCAGCTCTAGCCAAATGGAATTTTGGCCCGGAGTGCCAACATGGAAAAGATGAGAAGGAAGTGGAGGGAGGGAAGAAGAGGGGAGAAGAAGGAAGAAGGGGGGAGAGGGAGAAGGGGGGAGAGAGAGAGAGAGAGAGAGAGAGTGCCCCTCCCAGCCCAGTTTCTGACTTTCTGGACTTCAAAATCACAGCTGCTGTCACATCCTAGAATTTCTGAAATATTCTAATAAAAAATGGTCACTTCTGTCAGGGTAACTGACTACTCTCATAACATTTCTACATGGAGACAGAAATCAAAGTGATATAAAAAGTCAGACAAGCCTTCTCTTGGTGCTGCCTTCTAAATCCCAGGTGGAGTTAAAGACATGGGAATTTCTAGTGTCTTCTTATGGAGTGAGAGGATTCCTACAGCCCTGATGCCTTTCAAATTGGCAGACCTGATGTTGGAAAGTCATATATATGTTCACAAATACACCGAAGAGGTGTTTTTCAAGTGCCTCCAGAAAAATAAAGCTCTCCAATGGAAAGGCAAAGAAAGTCTAGCTTACCATTTCAACAACCTCGACCTCAGCACTGATTCGTAGATGGTACAAAAACATCTGAAGATCTTTCTTCATTTGAATGCTGTTGTCATCCATTTGAGCTACAGTAAAGATGCGCATTCTGCACTTTCTCCACACCTATCAAGAGCAAGAAAAGATACTTAAGGATTTATTTTTTAAACACAATTATGAAGATGCACATATACATAAGTGTGAATATATACAACACAGTAGAACAATTTCTTTGCTCTCCAGCTTAAAGCAATGAAGGCGAGACACTATAGTTTCATGGGTGCCATTTTTACAACTTCCTGCAAAAGGTCTTCCTTGAATCCTCTATTAGTGCACTCCTTCTAAACTTAGTAATTCTATTTACTTTGTACATATTTTTGTATGTACTTATATGTTCACATGCTTCCTTCCAGTAGAATATAAGCTCTATAATGGCAGGATGTGTTTCATATTCTCTTTTTTGTATCCCTAATACCTAGCACAGTGCCTACCACATAACAGGCTGAAATGCTTGCTGAAATGAAAACAATCAACTTATCTAGTAAATCTACCCAAGACACAAAACTGAATGCCCAACACCAAAAGGCAGAATAGGATCAACTGTGGAATAATCCATAATTCTCCTAACCTTGTGCTGGCGAAGCAGAAATGGCAGCAGCATTAGCATGCCACCATCGTGGACAATCCACCACACGTCTATGTGCCCTTCCTTAAAGCGCTCTTGGTTTTGGGGGAATGTGTCAATATTTTTAGCCACCAACAAAGCTTGCTGTGCCGCAGTGGTGTCTCGGATGGTATCTGTAGGAAAAAAGAGAAGATTCATTCAGCAGACATGTACACTAGTGAAGAGCTGAGGCAATGAGTTAAAAATCCATGACAATATACTACATCTTAAACCTGAAAGGTTCCTTTTAGCAAATGGACTGCCAACTGTCAACAGAAAACCACCTCCACTCTGAAGATGGAGAAGGTCAACATTCTCCAGGCTATATCTTTTGGCAGAATTTACAAGGAAAGGAAAAAAAAAAAAAGAAAAGAAAAGCCCAAAGGCGTTCAAGAAGCCATTCCTTTTATAAACTGGATGGCAAGTCAGAGCCAAATGAGCTCAGAGGCATTCATTAGCATTTACATCCCATATGCATTGCTTCCAATTATCTTAAGATTTCAAAGAACACCTTGGTGGTGTGCATTCGTGGAAATGAAATGGTAGGAAGAGGCAATAAGCCATACAAACCAACAAAATTCTTCCATGAGAAGGGGTTATCGGATTGTTTCCATGACTCTGGCCATGCCATAAGTACAGTGTTGTGCTTCATGCCACCCAAACCAGCAGACTGAATTAAGTGGGACATTCCATCTCTCAAGCTGGAAGAGACCACCAACTGGCAGAATCCCTTGGTCTTTTCTGTTCCCATCAGGGACCGAATGTTCTAATAAAAATTAAAAAATGCAATATCACTTGCAATGAAAAGAAAAATAAAGTCAGTATCTAAGGCATAGATTCAACATAGCAATAAGGATGGGCATAACACTATGGTGGTAGTTTCTTTTCCCAAACATTGAATTATTTATTTTGAGTGCCCCTTCCCCCCCCAATCATTTTTGTGGTGGTGTTAAAGAATAAATTGATAAAAGGCCAAATGATAAAAGTTTAAGACAGTTCTCAAAAGAAGAGCTGAAAATACTGGTGACCATATAAATGGATGTTCCATATCACTAAGGAAAAAAAAAACTCAAATCCAAACAACTCTGGAGTTTCAGCTCACATCCCAAATGGCAAAGACGATAAAAGAAAACAGGGAAAGCTGGAGCAGCTTCGGATATAAAGGAACACTAACACAGTTAGTAGAGCTATGGTTCTAATGGTTCTACCATTCTAGAAAGGAATCTGGAATTATGTCTAAAATAATATTAAAACATCCTTATGCCTTGACCCAGAGATGCTAATGCTAGACTCATACCTAAGGAGATTAAAGACAGAAAGGTCCCAGATACAACAAAATATTCAAAATAATATTTTGTATTAGCAAAGACTTGGAGACAAAGTAGATGTTCACTGATTGGCAATGGCTAAGCAAAATGGGATACAAAAAAATTACTTCACTATAAGAAACATAATCATATGAATTCAGAGAAACTTGGGAAGATATTTGTGAATCAATTCAAGTAAGAAAAACAAAGAAAACATATACAACTACACCAAAACCCCCTAAAACTTAAAGATACATGACAGTAAATAAGCTTGGTCCCAAAGAAGATATGAAAAACACACTTCTCATCCTTTGCAGAAGTGGGGAACTAGCAGGTGGAACACCAGATATACTGTCAGATTTGTTTGATGTGTTTTTTGCCAAACTACCTTTTCCTTTCCTTTGAAAAAAAATTCTTTCCTGTAAGGCATGACTCACTGGGTAAGGGCAGTAAGGAATGTATATATTTGGAAATGAAAGTGATGTGGGAAAAATTACTAACATTTTTTATTTAAAAGAATGAACAGATGAATAGATAATTAATGCAATCAGCGACCAATCCTCTAAATTCTAAAATAATGTCATTAAATTGGCCATGGAGCTTTTCCTTGGTTCCTACAAATACTGTCAGCATAGCACTGTGAAAAGAACATTGGGTTTGAAATCAGAAGAAATCTGGAGATGTGTGTTCAACTCCCAAACCTGCTACCTTCTGCTTGTGTGATCCGAAAGAACCAAGTCCAGAAAAGTTAAGACCTGGCTATCTATAAACTGAGAAAGGAGTCTACATGACAGTTCTAAGGTCTCTTCTAGCTTTAAATGTAAAACAATCCTGTGTGAAGGACAAACAGCATTATGCCATTTTAATTGAGGTGGTTGACACAGGGTATACCTTGTCAATCATGTAGTATGATTCTAAACTGCAATTACAGAGATAAAGCCAGTATTGCAGGTTATAGACAACTAAATGTAGATAACTAAATTCTTTTCCATTTTAATATGAAGACACACAATCACAAACCTCCCTGTTATTTCATCTGGATGGCTTTTTCTCACTTTGCTATATACATGTGGTTAGTTTAAAGCTTGGTCATAATGTTTCACGTCCGGCAGCCCTTTCTGAAATACTTGTTAGGTATTTTATGAGGTTCAAAAATAAAATACCAGGCAAATGATACATGGCACACCAGACAAAACAACCGTGGTGGTGTTTCTTTTTATTGTTCCCACGTGCAGCAGGACACCATTCGGCCTTTCAAAGATAAGTGCAAACCGCATTTATAGAATTCAATGAATTTTAGCTCAAAAACTACATTTAGTTTTGGGAAATTCATACCATTTTGCATATTTTAGTAAGAGTTTTTCCACTTTCTAATGATCGTGCAGAAGACTGTATTAAATAAGACCTAACAGTTGCTGGGTTTCCAAGATAGTGAAATAAAGATAGGTAATTGTAATTCTTTTGGGGTTGGGTTACTGTTATGAATTCAGAATGAGTATCTAAACTGGGGAAGGGTAGGAATCCTCTAAAATTAGATTGATAAGCTTACTGTGATTAATTTGGAAGATATCACCTCTTCCTTTATATACCTATGAGAATAAAAAATGGAACATGTGGAAATAGCATGCCTGTGCAATCAGATTAAGGAAACCCTCAGAGTTAAATCCTATCTGGAAATGAAATATTCTGAATGCTTACCTGCTTCAGCTGCAACTGGGAAAAAGATATCCCTAGATATCCACAATGAAGATGGCTTTTAAAAACAGAGTCCAGGATATTTCTGGCTCATTTTTAACATCACCTTTATTTCCTTATAAGAATAAAAAATAAAGCGGGGCGGGGGGGATATTCAGCAAAACAACACAAACTTGAGATTGACAATCACTGTTTCAGTCTCCCAACTCAGCAAATAAAGGAGGGAGGCTCATTGTGTTGATAATTTCAACTAGCATCATTTAAGGATGTTTGAAGGGCAGCTTCTATTTACAAAGGTAATCACAGCCCAGTAGACAAATAACTGTTCACATTCTCTTGCCACCTTGCCTCCCACTTAATTCAAATGAATACTCAGGGATGAAAGACTCCACTTTGTTCCTTGTTCCCTTCACACTAAATACAATGATCTTTCTAGTTACATAGTTATATATAGTTATACACAGCAACAGCAGCATCCCCTATTAAGAAGTTATTTTGATGGCAGATATGTGATATGTCTATTATAAAAATATTTCTTTGCATAACAGTTATTACCCTGTCCACATGATGGTACATGGATCCTAACAGGTTCAGCTACATCCTGTGTTCCAGACATCACCACTGGGGGCTTTTTCCCCCCTCATGCGGCTTGTTCAACAAAGCCTCCTGCCAAAAATTCCCTCATCTTACTATGACAAGCATTCTTATTTCTTTGTAATCAAACCCTAAACATCCCTCCCTCTGCCATACCAAGGGAAATGGCTCTAACATACAAAAAACACACTTAGAGGAGGGATCTACTCCAAATCATACTGCTATGACACAGAAGAAATATGGCACATTGAGGGTTTGGACTTACAACACCTGGGTTTATCTCAAATAAAGAATTATTTTATGGTAGATGTGTCATGTGTCCATTATAAAAGTGTTTCTTTGAATACATCTTTTACCCTGTCCACACGATGGCACATGGATTCTAACAGATTCAGTTACACCCAGTGTTTTAGACACCACCACTGGGGGCTTTTTGTCCAATGCTGCTTTTTCAAAAATGCTTGTTGTCAAAATTCCCTAGTGTTATTCTATACAAGCATTCCTACCTTCCTTGCAATAAAACCTGTCCATACCCTACACGAAGGCAAGATCTATAATTTATAAAAAGCAGTTTGAGAAAGAATCTACTCCAATACAATAGATACAGTAGAAAAAGAGAACATTGAGGTTTTAGATTCAGAATACCTAGGCTGAATGTTATATAATGTCATATAATTAGGGTAGGACTACATGAAATTCAAGGCCCCTTTCTAGTTCTAAACCTATGCTCTTACGTTATTTTATTCCTTGAGAGTTTACAATTTACCACACTTAGGAGGGGAGGGAAGGATAGTAGAACGGGACACAGAGATACAAAGAAATATACGTTCTCAGTTTGTCATCTAGTTGGTGAACATAAGGAAAATTTTAAAACAAAATGTTTCACAAGGGAGGAAAGGAGAAAAAAATTTGGAACTCAAATTCTTATAAAAGTGAATATTTAAAACTATCTTTCCATGTAATTGGAAAAAATACAATACTATTAAGTGGGGGGGGGGGGGAGAGAGAGAGTACATGGTTAATTGTTGAACAAATGAGAGAGATGGTAAGTGCTATTAAGTGGCCAGCACAGGATAGGAACATTTCACCGAATGAGAGATTCCCGCTAAACTTTGAAAGACGACTAGGTTCTTTAAGCAGTCATAGAGGTTAGTCGAGGGTCATCCAGGGAAGTAGCAACAGCAAAGAAAAGGAAGGCACCAAATAAATTTAGGGCAGGGGTCCTCAAATCTTTGGTGTGATGGACCCCTCTGGTAGTCTGGTCACACCTTTGTATGGACCCCCCCTCACATGTTGTTAAGTACACAAAATGCATAGGATTACAAAAGAAACCAATTACGTTGAAATACAGTCATCAAAATATTAAAAGCAAAACGACAAAAACCAAGTTCACTGATCTTTCTATAAAGGACAGCAAGCAGTTGGGTCTAGCTAGCGCAGAAGGTCCAAGAAAGTGGGAAACACTGGAAAAGCAGGTAGGAGCTTCATTCTAGTATCCTAGAAGGTAGAGGTCTCAATCTATTCTTATCCTTCATGCTACAGACTAGCATAACTTCAGCTCTTATTCCTATAAAGTCAACATCTGTCAATACAAAAAATAAAATTCTCTTCCCTGCTGTTTCTCCAGGTACTCTCACACCACTTATTCCACAATGCCTTCTGAAACCCTGGATGAGTTTGCTCTGCTAATCTGTTCTCTATCCTGGATCTCTTCATTTGGAACTCTTCCCACTTTCTTAGTATAATGGAAACTTGGCTCCCCCAAGAAAACATTATACCCCTGATTACATAGATGCTCCACTACTGAGAATGCTTCTCATCCCCGCTTCCGCCCCCAACTTCCACCCCAACACTGAGTCAATAGGAGGGACAGGTGTGTCCTTTGCTCCTCCATGCTATTTCCAGATAATCCCTTTGCCAGAACCAAGCAGCCTCTCCTCTTCTGAAATCTGTTCCATCTGCCGTTACTGCCAATCCTACGTTCCTTCCTTTTCCAACAAGTGAGTACCTGACTCAGTCTTCTTATGCCATTCCATGCCCTCCTACTGGGGACTTTGATGTTATGAGTATAAGTTGGTATGCCTAAAACAGTAGGGCTTCCTAGTTAAACTAGCTCCTAAACCCCCTTGACTTATCCTCATTTCACCTGTCACTGAAGGATGACAATCCTCTTGCAAGGAAACACAGTTGCATTTTCTTCAAGAAGGACAAACAACAACAACAGCACTCCACGCCTGTCTTCAACAGTTGAAAATCATTTATCTAAAATGCGTTCAGAAGGACAAGCTAAGCCTGACCTTACAGAAATTAGCCCCTGTGTGTCCTAGCAGGTGCTTAGCACACATCTGCTAATATGCTTACCCTATAAACAATGATGTGTTCATCAAGCTGACACATCTTTCCTGCCTCAAATTTATTGTGTTTAGAAAAAAAAGATCACCTTTTTTCCTTAGGTGAGAACCTTGTAACAATATCGGTTTTCCTATGTCAGTAAGCCCCAATGAGGGATTTGAGGAGTGGGAAACCTGCAGACTCACTTTGCAATGACTTCCAAAAAAATCAAGTTTTAAGAAAAATAAAATCATCAAGAGACACTTTCCCTATTGTCTTCCAACTGTTTCACATCCAGAAGAGCCTCCCTACACAAAAAGAGGGCTGATTTTTGTGAGTGACGGAAAGAAAGTGACATCGTACAAATTGGTTCTTTATCTAACCACATAATTCAATCTAGTTACCTTAATTAATCTTAAGTTTAAACTTTAAATGGCTAGAAAATTTTGACTCAAAAGTTCATGAGGGCACAAACCTGTCTGACTGCAAATTAGGCTTAATGGTAAATAATGAAAGAAGAGAATGTTGACCCCCTTCCCCAACCCCACAAAAACAAACAACAAAACAAAAAAAAAACCACAAAAAAAACACAAAAAAAAACATACAAGCCCTAAGGAAAAACTCTATTCTGTCTGTCTGTCTGTCTGTCTCTCTCAGCTACTGTTCCTATTGTCCTTCATGGCCACAACAGGATGAGAATACAGCAGAACAGATTAATAATAAGTATTAATATTGTTCCTGTTATAAATGATATTTGTATTGTTATACTGTCGTTTAATCACTTCAGTCACATCCAACTCTTCATGATCCCATTTGGAATTTTCTTGGCAAAGATACTGGAGTGGTTCGCCATTTCCTTCTCCAGCTCATTTTACAGATGAAGAAACTGAGGCAAACTGGATTAAGTGACTCGCCCAGGGTCCCACAGCTATTAAGTATCTGAAGCCACATTTGAACTCAGGTCCTCCTGACTCTAGGCCCAGCACTCTATCCACAGCTAACATTTATATAGCTCTTACTATGTGCCAGGGACTGTTCTAGGACCTTTATATTATCTCATTTGATCCTTACAACAACCCTGGGAGGTAGGTGCTATTATTAACCCCATTTTGCAGATGAGGAAACTGAAGCAAATAAAAGCTAAATGATTTGCCCGAGGTCACACATCTAGTGATTGTCTGTACCTAGACACATAGATGGATTTGAACTCAGGTCTTCCCGATTCCAGGCCTAGTGCTTTGCCCACTGTGATACCTAGCTGCCTCTTATTTTAACTTTAATTAAATATCTATTTGATATAAATAAAACTATAACTTAAATTTAAATAAATTATAATTTAAATTAATAAAATAGACTTTAAAGAGCAAATGGATAGAGAATTGTTGCCAGGAATTGGCTACTCCCTTCATTTGGCATCTTCCACTAAGTCTTTAGAACCAAAATTAGACTTTAGCCAATACTTGTATATTTACCTTTGATTATGCATACGTTTACTTATGACACAAATTTTTTTGTTTAAATTTGAAGCTGCCTTCTATTTAGCCGGCTTCCCAGGCAGACACTCCCTTCTATAAATTAGTATAAGATCAATGAATTCAAACTCATTACCTGTTAGCACAAACTGAATAGAGGTTAATGTCTGCCAACCAAGTAATTACTGCATTCCATAGAATCCAAAGGATAGGCATTATCTACTCCCATCTATTACTGTGCGGAGTCAATAGACAGATGTCCCAAGATTGTATGAATGGAAGTTTCAGCATCATATCAAAATTATTCCAGCTCCACAAGATTTTGTGTGTGTGTGTGTGTGTACATACACATACATATAAATACATACACATATGCTACAACCTTCTTAAGGAGAACACATTATGTGCAGATCTCATTGGAGACTTCGGCACAGTAATTCTCTACAGAATAATTCCAAATTTCAGTAACTCAGTTAACTTTCATATGTTTAAAACTGTGGAATTTATTCCAGATTATGCAGGTTTCTCATATAAAAAGAAAAATCAGGGAATCAAGAGAACAAAACCAAGTAGTCAGTGATAGGGTCACTTTTCCAGAAACCTGAAGCAATACCAACATCAGAATTAATGTACATGGAGATCAACAGTCTAACAGAGGTTCCTGGATTCAGATCAGAAGACAACAAATACTCCCAACTTCTAATTTAAACTCCATTCAAAGTTAAGTGTGAGTGAAGAAAATTACTCCTCCTCCTGCCCCTGCTGTTCTCAGTAAGAAAGATAACAATAAAAACTTTATGCTCTTAAAGTGCTTCATGTAAATATCACCTTATGTGAACCTCCCAATAAATCTGGTATTGAAAACTGAATCACAGTCAGCTTCCACAAAAGCCGAGTCAAGCAATTAACTTTCCTGTGCTCAGTAAGCAGTCAGCATTAGGGGCCGGACAGCAGCCCAAGTCTTCATGACTCCAAATCTAGTTCTCTATTCACTGTGCCATATTGCCTAAGAGACATCTGAGGTTTCTCAACCCTGTCAGCTGAAATTACAGCCCCGATGTCCTAAATATTAGAACACACTGTAATGGGAGACATTTCTATTTTGGAGAAGAAATGTTTTTAAGGTGCTACAATATGATCATTAAAAGAAACCAAGATGATATGGTTGTTATTTCTGCTTTTGGACTCAAAAAACCACTGGTAAATTTATGTATGCTAATAAAGATGCATACTACATTCAATTAAAAATTAAATGCTAGACGATGAAATCTTAATTCAAATACTGCTGCGCTTCTGAAACGACACACTGAATTTTCTAACTATTAAACTGTTGGCTTATACCATTTGTTCCTATTTGGCCCTAGATAACCAAGAAAAATGCCTTGGATGGAGGGAGAAGGGAGGATGGGTGGGTGTATACCTCTTCAGCTCTCCGGGCTTCTTGGTGTTTATCCAAGTATGTTCCTTCCAGGACAGAGCCCACAATTGTTAACCCTTTACCAGCCTTCAACTGGCTAGTGAATGAGAGTAACCTTGGATGCTTTACACACTGTTCTGAATCCAAATTCAGCAGCACCAGAACTTGAGGTCTGCAGGATAAAACAAAATTAATAATAAAAAGAAGGAAAAATAAGTGACAGTAAATTGACAGATAAAAATACACGATTTGTTCAATAACTGATCTAGATAGACCAGTAGTTCAAGACTGCTGTTTGCTGGTTTGTAGCACCCTCTGCTGGACAAAAGTACTTACAGTTGTATCCAAATTAAAGTGGAGAATAATTAGTAGGAGAAAGACTATCAATACTGAATCCATACTGTATTCTTGTGTAATACAAACATAAGAACTCAAGTTATTTTTCCCCACCCTGCCCTTTGGTGGACGTGGGAGGTCCACAAGTGTTACATGCTGCATGTGTTTTTGAGTGTTTTCAATGTGTTGATCAGTGGTGCTGAAGTTTTTTTTTCCCCTCCCTAAAAATTGTCATTTAGTCGTTTCAGTCATGTCCAACTCTTCAAGACCCCATTTGGGGTGTTCTTGACAAGGATACTGGAGTGATTTTTGCCATTTCCTTCTCCAGCTCATTTTACAGATGAGGAAACTGAGGCAAATAGGGTTAAGTGACCTGCCCAGGGTCAAACAACTACTAAGTTGCTTAAGGCTGAATTTAAGCTCAGGTCCTCCTGATTCCAGAGCCGATGACCTATCCACTGCACCACCCAGCTGCCTCTCCAGGTCTCTGATTATCCCCCAAATGTCAAAGACCAATATTATCTGTATTCTATATTGGTTATACTTCTCCAAATATGGTGACAATTTTCGACATGAGCCATCCCTGAACCTCAAAAACATCACTCCTCTTCAGATCTCACCAAGACTTTGTTTTGTAATTCACTGATGTACTTTAGCTTTCTGTGTGGGTATCTAGTCTCCTTTACTGACTGTGAGCAAGGAATTTTTTCTCCTAAACTTTATCTTCCCCAGAATGTGGTACAGTATTCTGCACACAGTGAGTGCTTAATAAACATCTCTTCAAACATGTCATATTCTATTTCATTAAAACAGGATTTTTATTTCACTTAGCAACCAGATTCTTATGGGAACTCAGTGCTATACTTCTAAAAAAAATTTTTCATTTTAAAGACACATATTACATTGAATAACAATTTAAAAGGCTAGAAATCAAAACCATAATTATTTAATTCCTGCTGAGCTCCTGACTCAACACACTAAAATTTCAGCCTACTGAGTAATGCATTGACTTAGCTTCAGATAGACACCACAATATGGGGGTGAACAAGAAGGTGTTCCTCAAGACAGAGGGATCATGGGAAACTTACCTCCAGTTTTTAGTGTGGGGTGGGCCATGTTCTACCCGTAGTAATGCATAACGAGCAGCATTCAAAGATAAACCTCTTATCCCATCGCCCCATTCTTTCTCAGCTCTTAAAAGGAAAAATAAAAAAATCCACTTTGAACCAGCTAACAATCAATATATGGATCGATGTGCTGATTTTTTTTCCTCTTAAAAAAATATTATTTGTCATATGGCATGGCTCTCCAGGAGGAGGGAAAAGGAGGGTTACATGGGATACTACAGTTATGTAAGAAACAGAAAACACCAATAAAAAAATCATTTGAAAAAAAAAAAAAAACAGCCGACAGTGATTAGGCCATTATATTAAAATTTAATAACCTGAGCCAGAACATTTTAATCACTGTGCTAGCTTAACAGCATACCACAAAAAACTCCTATTAATGAATGGAGTATGTGTCAAACACACTGTCAAAAACTTCATTACCAAAAGTAAACCTACGTTCTAAGATGGAATGAGGTGCAGGTGTATGCATGTAATCACACACAATTATGTACTAATTAAACTAAGGCCAAATGTCCATATGGGCAGTAATAAGGGAAACATGCATGCATGCATACACACATATAATTATACACATAAAGAGAAATTAATACATATAATAGGTAAAGAGAATTTGGGAGGGGGGGAGAAAACATTAGCATATGGAAGGCTGAAAGTTAGGAAAGTTAAAAAAGGTGGCCTTTAGAGAAATTTGGAGATTGTGAGAGGTGGAGTTAGAATGGAGTGCATTCTAGGCATGGTGGACAGCCAATGCAGAGATAGGGAGATAGGAGATGGAATGTGGGAAGGGGAAAAATGTGTTATAAGGCTGGAAAGACATATTGCCCCCAGGTTGTGAAGGGCTTTAAATGCCTAACAGCAAAGTTGACATTTGATTTTCCATTAAGTAGCTCAGAACACTTCATGGGGTTGGCCCAATTTTCTATCAAACAAGATGATGAAAAATAAAAACCACTCAGGAAAGGTTTCTTGTCTGTTGTTTTTAGACAAATGTGGCTGCAGATACTTGAACATGAGAGCTGTATGTCATACATATCATCAGATAGGTACTGTGTCAAAATACACCCAAATTTGAGCCTCACTCCACACACACACACACACACACACACACACACACACACACACACACCCCCTGTCCCCTCCGCCCCCAATTGCATATAGCTCTTGGGGGTTTTTGTTTTATTTTTGTTTTGTACAGCTCAAGAACAAAGAATGGTTTACATCTTAAAATAAAGTTTTATTGCATTTAAAAATGTAAAAAACATCTTAGCTCATGGGCCAAAATGTACCAAAAAAGGCAGTGAATTGGACTTCCCCTTGGGGAAGGGGTTTGCCATTTAGTTTAATCAACCAAAAATTGTATAGTTCAGTTATATATAAGTTCTATAGCTCAGAAAAAGAAAAGGGGGAGACTCTTGGTTTCAACATAGGCATGCATATGCACATAAACAACGCCTACAACTGATGCTGATACATGCAACTTAGATATACGTTCATTTGAAATTTCCCATGGTTTCTGAGCACTTGTCCTCTCTTTTCCATGACTGCTAAGTTCATTAATTCATAATAAGAACTCTAGAAATAAAAACTACAAGAGAAAAACAGACCCACTTACCCTCTGTATTCAATGTACTTGTAGATACAGCCTGCAATAAGCATGGCAAACAAAGCATAGTACCAAGAACAAATGAACATCAAGGCAAGACACAAGCTCATTCCAAGGAAGGAAAGAGTCCTATGGAGACCAAAAAAAGGAAAGAATTTTATTTAAAAATTATAAAACAGAATTATTTTCCCCCATCAATATACTTCATTAAGTGATACTTCACTAATACTTCCAATTCTTATACTTCTAATTCTAATACTTCTAATGGAGTGCATTCTAGGCATGGGGACCCAATGCAGAGATAGGGAGATAGGAGATGGAATGTGGGGAAGGGGAATAAGGCTGGAAAGGTATATTGCCCCCAGGTTGTGAAGGGCTTTACATGCCTAACAGCAAAGTTGACATTTGATTTAGCAATAAGTAGCTCAGAACACTTCACAATTTTGCATGGCAATATTTCTAATACTTCACTAAGCAGATAAATTCACTAAGAATGGGAAAATAATAGAACCAAATCACTGTGTTCCAATATTAAAGGTAAAAGGGCAAAGCTGGTAAGTTGGCTAAAGGTAGAAAGTTATTTTACCTGACAGATTTGTGAATTAGTAGCCCTCTCTTGAGCTAATATGGCACAAATTACAAAAATGCACAATCTCTGTTTTCAAAGATATAAAGCTTTGATATTAATATATCTATGATATAAAAAGACAATGACAAGACTTAGGCATGAATTCCATTAAAGAAACTAAAGGGTTAATTAAAATGTTGCTTTGGGTGTCCAGGTTTGAAGTCAGCAAATATATGACTATGTGAGAGATACATATGACATGTGATTAGGCAGTGGCATCACGGATGGAGAGCTAATTTTGGAGTCAAGAAGATCAAGGTTCATGTCTAGCCTCTGACCCATTCTAGCAGCCTGACCCTGGATGATTCAAGTAACCTCTCACAGCTCTGGGCAACCAGAGGTACCACTGTATACTAGCATTTTCAACAGGAGCTACCTTACACCAATAAAGTCACAGATTTGATTAAAAAGAACCAATATCGGGGCAGCTAGGTGGTGCAATGGATAGAACACCGGCCCTGGAGTCAGGAGGACCTGAATTCAAATCCAGCCTCAGAAACATAACACTTACTAGCTGTGCGACCTTAGGCAAGTCACTTAACCCCAACTGCCTCACCAAAAAAAAATAAAATAAAATAAACCAATATCAAGAGTTATGCAACATATAACCTCAAAGTACTTAAGACCTAACGAACAGAGGATACCTTTATCCACCAGGCACTCCACTAACAACTGAAAATGCTCTGTGAGCCTATCATATGATCTGCAGAAATAAACACAGTATTAACTTACCAATGATAAAACTTGAAACGAGGACGCCAATTTGGGGTACGCAGAAGAGTCTGTACAGCACACGCCAAATTGACAAACATGTAGCACATGAGGAAAAACCTGAGGAGCAGAAAGTATAAAAGATCACATCAATGTTGCACAAACATCACAATCTTGGAAGGTTGCAGAGAGACCAGAGAGCAGGAGGGATTTGGCTAATTATCCTTGGCCAATGAAAGCTAAGTAAGTGTAGGAAAAATAAAGGCCTCCTGACCCAACCTAGTTCAAGAAAATGGCAAATAGTGGTTATCCAAAATGTAAGCTGTTCTCATGAACAAGCCATCAATGAGCTCCCTAAGGAAAAACCTCCAGGTCCAAATGGATTCACAAGTGAATTCTGCCAAACATTTAAAGAACTAATTCTAATGTTATATAAACTATTTGGAAAAATAGGTAAAGAAGGAGTCCTACCAAATTCCTTCTACGACACAAAAATGGTTTTGATACCTAAACCAAAAAAACAAAAACAAAGAACAGAGAAAGGAAACTATAGACAAATTTCCCTAAAGAATGGATGTAAAAAATTTAAATAAAATACCAGCAAGGAGATTAATACAATATATCACAAAGACCAGATATTATGACCAAGTGGAATTTATATCAGGAATGAAGAGCTGGTTCAATCTTAGGAAAATGATAACCATACTTTTGACCACATCAATAACAAAAACAAAAATCATGATTTATATGCATTTATAGATGCAGAAAAAAACTTTTCAGAAAAATCTACTCATTCCTATTAAAAATGGTAGAAAGTAGAGGAATAAAAGGAACTTTCTTTAAAATGATAAGTAGTTCTTATCTAAAACCAAGTACAAGGATTATTTGTAATGGGGATAAAGTAGAAGACTTCCCAATAAAATCAGGAGTGAAACAAGAATGCCCATTACCACTACTACTATTCAATATTGTACTAGAAATATTAGCTACAGCAAGATGACAGGAAAAAGAAATCAAAATAATTTAGGACAATGAGGAAAAAGTTTTCATCACAAAAATTACTGGGAAAATTGGAAAGCATTTTGATAAAAACTAGGTACAGACCAACATCTCACACCGAATATCAAGATAAGGTCAAAATGGGTACACAAGGTTTTATGGTTTCATACTTAAACATAAAAGGCTTATGATAATTCATAAGCAAATTAGGGAGCGTGGAAAATTTTAACTGTCAAATAGATGGATAAAGGAAGAGTTTATGACCAAACAAGAAACAGAGAGAATCACAGGAAATTATTATATTAAATTAAAAAGGTTTTGCAAACAAAACCACTACAGCCAAGAGGAGAAGAAAAGCAGGAAACCAGTAAAAGAATTTTATAGCAAGGTTCTCTAATAAAGGCCTCATTTCTCAAATATTTAGGGAACTGAATCAAATTTATAAAAATAAGAGCCATTACCCAATCGATAAATGGTCAAAGGATATGCAAGGCAGTTTTCATAATACATCAAAGCTATCTATAGTCACATGAAAAAAAATGCTCTGAATCACTACTGATTAGAGAAGTACAAATTAAAACAACTCCGAGGTACCACATCACACCCATTACATTTGCTAACATGATAGAAAAGGAAAAATGACAAATACTAGAGGGGATGCAGAAAAATTGAGACACTATTGCACTGTTGGTGGAGTTGTAAACTGACCCAACCACTGTAGAGAACAACTTGGAACTATTCCCAAAGGGCTATAAAACAGCAATACCACTACTAGGTCTGTATCCCAAAGAGATCATAGGAAAAGGACCTATATATACAAAAATATAGCAGCTCTTTTGTAGTAGCAAAAACTTGGGAACTGAAAAGATACCCACCAATTGTGGAATGGCTAAACAAGTTGATATGATTGTGATGGAATACTACTGTACCATAACAAAAGAAGAGCAGGATGGCTTCAGAAAAATCTGGGAAATCTTAGATGAACTCCTGCAAAGTGAAATGAGCAGAACCAAGATAACACTGTAACAGCATCAGAATCAACTATGAAAGCTACTCTGACCAAGATAATGATCCAAGACAACTGTGAAGGACTCATGATGAAAAATGCTATCCACCTCCAAAGAAAGAATTTTTTTTTTTTTAAAGTGAGGCAATTGGGGTTAAGTGACTTGCCCAAGGTCACACAGCTAGTACGGGTCAATTGTTTGGTCTGAGGCCAGATTTCAACTCAGGTCCTCTTGACTTCAGGGCCAGTGCTCTATCCACTGCGCCACCTAGCTGCCCTCAAAGAGAGAATTATTGATGAAGTCTTCGTGGAGACTGAAGTATACCGTTTTCATTCCTTTATTTTTCTTGCTTTTTTTTTTCAACATTGCTAATATGGAAATATATATTGCATGATTTCACAACTGTAACTGATATCACATTGGCTGCCTTCTCAATTGGTGGGGGACTGAAGAGAGGGAGAGAATTCGGGAAAAATGATTAAAAAAAAACTTTCTGTGTATTCGAGTTTCATTGCAGCCTTCTCTAGTGTAGGGGAGATAGGAGAGGAGGGGATAAATAAAATAAAAGGTACACAGCAGAGAAAAGAAAACCTACAAGGAAGCAAAGAAAAGCTGGGCTGCTTTGAAAGCAAATATAGTATTTATTACATAAGTTTTTATGAAATGGGAACTTTTTTTATTTAATACTCGTATGTTTTGCTGTATATATGGAAATATTTTCTTTTTGTATTTAAGTTTAAGTTGAATTTCAAAAATTTTTGAAAAAACTGTATTTTCTTATTAAAGTATTCTAAAAGGTTTTAATTACATTAATGACAACTCAACTCTGTGAATTATGATTCTCAGTCTTGTTCTAAAAACCACTATATTACTTATATCCATGGCAAATGGTAAAATTGATTTCCATTCCTATCAAATAGAAGGCATGGAAAAGTTTACTGAAAATCGAAGGGTAAAATGACCACAAAGGTCAGGAACCCTTCACCCTGAGTTTGCCTAATAAACTCATGCATTCTGCGAGCATTTACTACCAAATCTTTTTTGGCAAATCTCTCTTCAGTGCTTACCTATCTCATGGGCTCAGGCCTTTTATTTCCTGCTGCCAACAAGCAATCTTTACGTGGACAAGCTATCACCTCTATTATAACAGATCCAAAACCTGTTCACTTTGAAAGAGCATCTTCTTTCAAGGTTCAACATTTCCATTCACAGTAACCCACGTCACCTGGTCCTCCAGGCTTACCTTTGATTCCTCAAGAGTCTGGATTTTCCCGTATCTTGAGATACCAGGTCTTGTTGTGATTCTTCTACAAAGACTCTCAGATCCACGGCTACTTTGACTGCCATCACTCTAGTCCGTACACAATAACCTAATTGCTCTCAATCTCACCCCCTTTCTCATCCTTTCTGCACACTCAGGTGACTTATCTAAAGTCTTCCATCATGATCTCTCCTACCCCACAACTTAACTATCTTGCATAGTTAAGATCCATTCAGGTTCCATTCATTCCTTTTTCTCCACTTCTACTTTTCTTGCCTTCTAACTCTCCCAATCCAAATGCTACTCTTCAAGAGGCAACAGCTGAAGCGAATAACCTCAGCACAGGACTGCCATGATCCACACTCCATGTTCTATGGCCACGATCCACACCATATGTTGTTACCACCTCTGTGGCACAGCAGAAACTAGACAATGTCAAGTTAGGGGACCCAGGTTCAAATCCCAATTCCGTAGCTACGACCATGGGTAAGTCCTTTTACTGGTCTGGACCTCATTTCTTCATCTGTAAAACTGCAGTGGGGTAGGGCTAGATCACCTCTAAATCCCCTTCTACCCTATAGATATGATCCTAAGATGATGTATTGTATATTTCATATATTTGTATAATATTTTTGTACAATATATATTATATATATTATATATTTAGGATTTTTTTTACCCTACTCTACATTACTGCATGTTCTCAGTTAGTCTGTGAGTTCTGTGGCCTGAGAGACCATCTTCTTTATATCTTCACAACACTCCAAATGTTCATATGGACTCTTTGTGCCCAACCTGTGGAAGATCCTTCCAAGCTCATTGTGGTGTCATCAGCCACAGTTGGACACTGTACCTTGACCTCCAACACAGTGATGTCATTTTGTCCCCTTTTGGGGAAGGACAACAACTAGCACTGTGCTAACATAAAACTATCAGGCACTTAAAACACATATTGATTTGGCTGTAAGGAATTCTCAAATGTATTTTTTAAGATGCTAAATTTTTGAAAACCAGAATATCTATTACTAAAGAAGAAAAAGAATTAGGGAGTAGAAGAATGAAGAAGAATAAAGAGAGAAGTACTTTAAAAGTCAAAGAAATGGAATTTACTCAAACAATATTTACTATATTTCCATCTTGAGAAGTGTACTTACATTGAAAGAATTGGTGCTACGCTGTCCAAGGAAGCAATTAGGATTCCTATTTCACAGATGAGAGCAGTGAGGAGTAAGGCCCATGTGGGTTCCCCATTTGCTTTTCCATGACCAAACACCTAATTAAAGTAAAGAGCATAAATGTAGTTATTTTTGAGTCTATTTTGCCGCAGAGGTATGACAAACGTCCACATTCTAATAAACAAAAGTTTGGGTTTTTTGTTTTTTTTTTTACAGTTAGGGCTGAAACAAAAAGGCATGCTCAGCTCTCTTTGTGCATATAACTTTTTCTACAGTTTTGTTATGTGTGAGGGAGAAAAACTACAAATAATAAATTTTCCCAAAATGTCAACAAAAAAGACCAAACAACTCGAAAAGGAACCAAATGTTAAGAGCTAAACTGCTTAGCTGCTTCTGAGAAGAAATGTTCAATAAAAATAAGAAAAAGCTATCCTCAAGAACTCTGCATTTGTCTTCAAAGATGAATAACCCTGGAAGGAACAGAACTAGTAGTCCTAAAAATTATTTTGGTTGGAACGATGATCAATGTGTATTTTCTTGCCTGCTAATTAATGTACTGAGCTCAAATCTGCAAAGCAAAAAGGGGACAAGGGTCAGGAATTGGCCTTCAAGGGCCGCAAAACACATCAATTGGACAGAAACATTCCTCATGGCCAAGCACCAACTGCTTGAATCCAAAAATAATTCTGCAATGTATATACATCCAGCTGGTGGCATCAGTCAGCCATTTGTGGAAGGATTTTGTTGTTGTTAATTTCCTCCTCTTGAAATACACTCCTTTACATTGCTGCCTCAATGCCTTATTAGTGCAAAATGATAACCTTGGGTTCCTCAAGACCGTGTGGATAGAATGTAAAATCCTAGCTCTGCAGTCTCTGCAGTTAGTGCTAGTGCTGAACTGCTAAGTTCAGAAATCAGCAGCATCAGGCTGACCACAAGGTGGTGATTTGGGGGAGTCCAATAAATCAATTAGGGACAGCTAGATGGTGCAGTGGATAGCAACACCAGACCTAGAGTCAGGAAGATCTAAGTTCAAAGCCGGCCTCAGACATTTACTAGCTGTGTGGCCCTGGACAAGTCACTTAACCCCTATTTGCCTTAGTTCCTCATCTGTAAAATGGAGACACACTGGAGAAGGAAATGGCAAACGTTATCTTTGGGAAGAAAACTGCACAGATATAGTCCATAGAGTCACAGAGAGTCAGATACGACTGAACAACAAAAACAAAAATAACAATAAATTAATTTGGACTTAACCTGAGGCCTGGAAGGATTAAAATGTGCATCATTTGAGGGAGTACCTACTCTAATGAACTAATAGATCCATAAAGTGCCTAATGGAAAATAGTATGCTATAAACATCTGCTAAAAGATGAAAGTTTTGTTATTGTCACCTAAATTTCTTTTAGCAGAAATTCTAATGCCAATATTTGGCTACTGGGGAAAGAATACTCAGCAAGCAGGAAAAATTTATTGGTTCACATAAATTATAAAATCTCAAATTCAGAAAACTGACAAAATATTCTGGTCATTTTTTAAAAAATCATTTAAAGCTAAACACATTAATGGTACTTTTCATTGAAAGTGAAAGGTAAGACAATATTTAGTTGGAAGAAAAACAATTCCAAGTAGAAGTGACACTTGAGGCTGTTTTAGTGATGAAGATAAAAACAAAATATTCAGGGGAGTTTTTTTTTAGTTATTTAAAGAATATGATTCAAAACCAGGAGTTTTTTCTTTTGCATTGGTCAACTCCATCTGAAGTATCATGCTCAATTTTGTGTACTGTCCTATAAAAGGGACACTTACATGCAGTATATCCAAAAGGATCGCAAAGATGGCAAGGGATATCAAAACACATCATCACAAAATGTCTGAGTAAACAAACAACAGATGTTTAGCTTGGAGGAAACAAGACAGGAGTTCTCAAATATTTTAAGGTCTGCCATGTTGAAGAGGGTATGGCTTACTTTCTGTAGCCTCAAGGAGTAAAAGAAAGGCCAATGAATATAAGCTATACCAAGCCAAAGGCCTCTTTACGAGCTTTCTAACAATGACTCTGCCACAGCTGCCTCTAAAGACATTAGTCTTTAATTATTAAATTATGTTATTAATTAATTAACAAAAGAATTCTATTTCTTTGCTTTCTATTCTAAGACCATTCTCTGAATCTTATAATTCTATGAGATGATTCAGGTTAATAACCACATAACCTAAGAAGTACAAGGAGTTTTCAGGGAGAGAGAAAACTGACTATTAAGAACTGAACTATATAACTTTTTTCTGACTAACTGAAATAATTTCACTATAAGTAATCAGTATAAATGATAAAATGATCAAGGTCTTTTAGTTGTTGCTCATCCTTCATTCTTGAAGAGGGCAATGACATCAGGAGAGTGATGTCTTGACTTGCAAGTGCATTGGATTTAAGTGAGGCAGAGCCATGCAAAGTCATCAGTCCCACTCTCTCCTCTAGAGTCACATGAGTCAAGACAACTGGTGATGGCCCAGAACGCAGTGGGAGACCTTGTCTTTTATAAGCTAAAGTCTTTCCCAGGTCTCAGTCTGTCTGAAGCAACATTCATTCAGTGATTTAAGGCCAGGTAAGAAATGAGGCAAAAGCTGGCCTCTTTTACCTACTCAAAAAAAAAAAAAAATCAACCTGGGAGGGGGAAGAACTTTTGTCCACAAGAGAAACAACTGCTATCTACACTCATCCAGAGCCAACAAAACCCAAACAATGAGCCAGTGAGGCTTGGGCTACAACCTATTATTGGCCAATCAATGATAAAATGATCAAAATCTTTTGTTAAATCCATTCTGTAAGCCATCTTTACAGAAGACATAAGCGATCACTAGCAGCTTTCTTTAAAACTGAATTCACTACCCACACTACATGATTTCCTTCAGAGGCAAGTTATGCCTTTAAAGAAGACATCTATTTTCCCTGTAGCGTTCATCTAGTACACCTGATGGACATCAGCACGGTTGTCAGGGCTACATTTCATGTGATAGCATGGTTATTACTGTTTCTTTCCCTAAGTACCAATCCATCATTTCAGAAGAACAATGTGGTTATGTCTCCCTGAATAGAAAAGAAGCTCCCCAAGGGCAGGAACTGTTTCATTTTTGTCTCTATGCCACTAATACTTAGTATAGTGCCTGGAACATAGTTGATGCTTAATAAATGCTTGCTAACTGCCATGCCCAAGTTAGTGAGAAAAGTCTTAAAAAAAAATCTGTCCTCACCTGAAGGAAAGGCACAATCTCATCTCTTGCAATAGCCTGCAGGAGCCTAGGTGCACCAGTTAAACTCTGCAGGCCAGCCCCACAGGTGGAGAAAAAGGAGCCAATGACAATGACCCAGGGAGATGGCCAGGCCAGCATGCCAATCACAAGATTTCCTTTCAGGGCTTCTCCAAACCTTGAAAGGAGGAAAGGATGAGGCTGAGTATTAGCAGTGACACGTTTCTGATTTACTAAAACACAATTTTCACCTTTGTTTTTTGATCATTTTGCAAAAAGAAAACTATAGCTAATAATGTGGACATGATTCAGCACTTTTGGTTCAAATGAAGCAATTATTTTAAAGTGACTTAAGGTGCTATCTCTACAAAAGAAGACTATTCAAATTAAACTCTCTTATGGAAGTGGGTGCATATATATGTGCATGTGTGTGTATAATATACTGTATATTATACACATATGCAGAGTATTATTCTGTATATTACACACAATAAAATACACTGTGTTATCTTATATATACTGTATATTATACACAAACGCAAAATATAATACAATATATCATATTATGTATATATAGTATGATGTATAATATATCATGATATATCATAACATATTACTGTATATACATAACAATATGTATATACAGAACATACAGTACATTATATATGCACATACAAGTATATAGGCTAATGTTGTGGGTATATGACATTTTAACTACAATTTTAAATAAAAAGTGCAACAAAGGTTTTCAATCTCCTATTTAAATGCTGCTTTGCTTGGTGAAATCAAAGTTTGCATATCAGAAACTAAAAATTAAAATGAACATACTTATCTCTCAAAATTACACCTTCTATACAGGCTCCAAAAAGGACAATGCAAGACAAATCTATTTTGGTAAGTTAAGGGACAATAAGTCTACAAAAATACAGAAATAAGCTTAAGAACTAAGGAAACTATGGAGAAGGGGGAGCTGGCTATACAGCTAGACACTGCCAAAGAGATCCCTACAGCATAATAGAATATCATGGGCTCAAAAGATTATTAAATGCTTAGACTGTATCTCCAACACCCCCCCCAAAAGCAAGAACTAATCTTTAATAATTTCTGTGTGTTAAAATTTTATGTTTTCCCCCCCAATTTATTCAATAACTTTCTGCTATGTTACAAATAATTCTATTTGCTCCAAATACTTAGAAAAACAACAATTATGGTCACAGGCTTGAGAAATTCTTCTGGAAAAAGAAATCCATATTCTGATTCTGATCAGTACAGTGGTTAGGAAAGAAATTATCAGTGAAGAGAATCGAGATGTGAAATTTGACATTCCACAAAAGAAGACCAGAACAGAGCCACCTAACATCTTAATGTCTTTGCCCAAAGGATACAGATAAAAGATGTGGTTGCGATTGCCAAAATTGTTCCAGTAGGGATGGATTTCTGCGCATCCCTCAAATCACCAGATCGGTTTGAACCCGCCATAATACCTAAAACAGACAAAACTAGTTATTTTCTTCTATCTTATAAACTGTGAGAGATATGCAAACTTTTAAGTTGAAATTAAGGGTCCATAGAAATGCCTTGCTTATTCAGAGGTCAAACTCACCCACATAAAAACATAACTTCAATCTGCCATCTGCAAAACCAGTGAACTCAAGCCAGGCTGGTTATTCTTTGGGCCCTTACCCCATTCCGATTTTTTTTTCTCTTGTTTAACATATAATTTCACCAATTCTGACTATCCATCTTCCCCATCCACTGCTAGATGCAATAAGCAAACAGGTTGTCAAAGGGAGGTAAAGCCTCCCATCTCAGAAATAAATTATCAAGGAACAACAAAATAAAAGGTTAAACAATGTTCAAGATCTACTAAGTAGAGAAAGAAATACAGACATTTTTGTATTATTTTTAATATATTTTATTTTTTCCCCAATTACATGTTAAAACAATTTTTTTAATATTTGGGTTTTTAATTTTGAGTTCCAAATTCTATCCCTTCCTCTTTCCTTGCCCTCCTCCGTCCCTGAGATGTTAACAATGAGATATAAGTTATACATGTGCAACCACATAAAACATTTCCATATTTAGACTATATTTTTTAAAAGAACTTCTAACAAAATGGCTTTGATTCTATGAAGTGGTGAAGCATACAACTGGCAAAGTAGAATTAAGGTAAGCTTCCTAGTAACATGGACAAAAATTACGCTATTAAAATACCACACTTTTAAAAGAAATATAATAATCCTCTTCTCTCATTTAATTTTCAATATCAATACTCAGTCACAGCTGCCTTTGTATCCCCTCCACATCAAGGGGGTTAGGCATGTGGCATCCTCGTGGTCTAGAAAATTTGTGTAAAACTTTTTGGCCCTCCCTTCGTGCCAGAGAAGAAGCCCGAATTATTATGATATTAAAAGACAAAATATGTTGATATTATATGATACTATACATATATTTTATCTATTTCTGAGTTTCTAAACTTTTTGTCTTGTCTGCCGGACTTCACATAAAGTCTGTGGCTTCCACCAAACTCCCCAAAAAATTCCATTAAATTTCTTATGCCAACCTCAGATATATCAAAACCATGATGGGGAAATTCACAATGTGGAAGGGATAACTGTACTCACTTCTGTGCCAGAACATTATCTCAAATCTCAACAATCCCTTAACTGATCAGTGGGAATGATCTTACTAAGCTTTAGGCCTTCTTCTTTATAATCTGAATGGCCCAAGGAAAGGAATTCTTGGTAAGGAGTTCAAGCAAGGGTTAACTGATGCTACCTAAAACATCACTTCTGGAAATAAATATCCTGTCTAGTTCCATAAAGAGCAAAGAACAACCAAAGGGTCATTGCAGAACTCTAACCATTTTTTATGCTTAGATAAAGTAGCAAAGAACACATCAAAGGAGAGGTTCTCAACCAGGCATGGTCCATGAACTTAAAAAAAAAAAAGTAAAACCATATTTTGAGAAATATATTGCAACATAATTGGTTCCCCTTATAAACATATGTATTTTGTTTTATTTATCTAAGCACATTATTAGAGAAGGGGTCCATAAGACAAAAAGGGCTCAATAGCCCTGTACCAGAGAAAAGAGGCATAACCTCAAATGATAATGGGCAGATGGCAGGAGGGATAAGGAGGTCTGGGTGAGAAGGATGATGTTAGCTTCTTGTTTTAACTAAGTACAATTGTTTCTGTGTTGCTTAAGGGCTTCAAGTGCTGGTAGCACCTCTAAATTTTAGTTCCATAAGACAACCCTCCCCCCTTTGCCCTGACCTAGTTATACCCCCTAGAATATCATTTGTACCAAACTGATCCTGTTTCTTCCTGAACTCCAAGTGAACATAACTGGCCTTAAAAACAGTACAATAGTCTCTAGGGCCAAAGGAAAATAAGTAAGTGCAATAAGGCCTTCTTTGGTCCAACTTATGCTTACCCTAACACAAAACCTGGTTAAGATCTTAAGGTAAAAATTAAACAAAATATACATTTCAAGGAAAGAGGCACTGACAATAAAGAGGCTTCTTAGTAGTATCTATGTGTATGTATATCTGCATTATATCTATCTGTGAGTAAATACATGTATGTACATATATAGCATATGCATATATATACATGTGCGTGTATATAAATGTGTGTACATACTTGTCATATTTTTAAGTTCCACATCTTTATTCCTCTATTAACCCAACATGTTTTTGTGCAACATGAGAGAAACATCTTGTATTTCCTAATTAAGCGTTGAATAATGCAGATGGCTTTTGGGAAGATGTTAGCTCTCGCCACTTGAAAAAGCTTCCTTTTCGCTTAGAATTAAGAGCTTCCTTTCTTCAGTTTGCAATAACCAAGTAGAACTTGCCTGGATCAGTGGTATTCATCTTTGTTCCAAGGCTCTAGGTTATTCTTTCTGTCCTGATGACAACAGGATGGAATGTTGCCAGACACAAGACATATAAAGCTCCTCCAACTACAATAACATAAAGACAGGGCTCAAGCCTGCGTACTTCTTGGCCAGGCTGAGGATCAAGTGGAACATGGCGGCAGCTGGGTAGCTCTGGGACTTAGCAGCTCACCTGAAGCTCCTTAAACATATTTTTACGTGACCAATGGCAGTGACACCTTATCACAAGAGTAGAAGTTTCACTATTCCACTCAGAGAAAAGGAAACATTTGCATGGTGACAAAGGCAGGCAGAAAAGGCCAGGCAAAATTCCAGACTATCATTTGGAGACTATCATTTCACTGGATTTAGTTACTATTCATCTAATCTGACCCTTTTATGGAAGATAAGATGTATTCAAAGCTACTAAATCTCTCTCTACATGCAGTCATGCTCGGGTATCAAATGAGGATTATGACACAAACCTGAGGATCTGGAACAACTGCGTGGCTGGGATGAATGTTACCAAGATAGCATCCTGTCCTATTTACAACCCCCTTTGCTGCCTCCAAGTAGAAGCATTACGACCACTGGTTTACCTAAACTGGTCTTTTAGGAAATCAGTGATACTCTTTGACAAGAGGGAAATGAGCTCTGGTTGTCTAGCAGCTTTTAAAAACAAAAAGCAACATACATAAAGATAATTAGCTTTCCAATCTCACATGGACACTGAGGGGCATGAAGGATCATTCACCAGAAGCAGGTACTGACAGATTGAACTCAAGCAGATCCCTCATTTAAAAGCTGAGCTATTCTTGCAGCATTACACTAGCCTGTGATGAAAAACAAGTCTCCAAATATGCCCTTTCAATTCCCATGAAACAAAAACTGGGAGGTCTAAAATAAGTGCTTTTCACGCATAAACTATATCTGACTGCTTAGTGTCTCAGGGGAGACAGGGGAGGGCAGGGAGGGAAAGAGAGACAGAATCTAGAACTCAAAACTTCAAACAAAAATGTCAATACAAAATACAAGAAAGAAATATTGAATAAAAAAAAACCACTTTTTAGGTATTTAGGTGTTGAAAAATTTTAATATGGGTATTTAAAAATTTAGGTATTTAAAAAATATTTTTAAAAATTTAGGTATTTAAAAAATAAAAAGTAAAGTAAGTGCTTTACTATTTACAGTATTCCATCATGGGCCCTTAATACTCCAGGCAACTCAAATACTATAAATTATGGAGATTTGTATTAGTGGTGGGTCCCTGCCAGAGCTCCCAAAATATCCTCTAAAAACCTACAACACCATTTATAATACAGTTGACTTTGTTTTAAATAAAACTGATAAAGATTTTGGAATGAAAAATACTAGCTTTTAACTAGACAGTGTAAAGACCATAAAAGAATTTACTGTCTATAATTATCAATGACTTCAGATGACAACAGAGTCCTAAAAATAGGAGGCTGTAATGGGAATACAGGAAAAAGGGCTGAAAGGGATTTTGGTGGTCATCTGTTCCAATTCTCTCATTTTGTAGATGAGGAGATTAAGGTTCAAAAATTAAGTAATATCACAGGACCATTAAGTGGAGACCTGGAGGGAACTTTAGAGGCCATTCAGTCCAACTTCTCTACTCTCACAACAGCCCTTCCTCCCAATCCTTTCCCCCAAAAAAGGCAAAAAAGAAAAAAAACAACAACAGAAAGCCTCCAAATGAAAGAATGTGTTACCTGTCACAGATGGGAAATAAATTCCTACCAACATCGTAAAGTAGGTCATGATGTCTGTCAATACATAAGGTAGGCCACTAGTTTTTGTTTCCTCTGGCACAGGAAATGAAGGCATATCTTTCTTTTCTACATACGCTCCCTTATCTGCATAAGCACTCCACAGATTTTCTGTAAACAGGAAAAAAAAAAAAGATATTTGTGCTCTCTTATAAAATGTGATTCTTATGACTTGGAACTCAGTTATGGCCTTGAAGGAATCACCTGGACTTGACTATGACAAGCCTTTGGTAGTACAAAATTAAGCAAGACATTCTACAAGTAAGAGAATAGGGGTTAAAAAAAAAGCTCCTAAAATTCTTTTTTTTTTAAATACAGAGAACTGATTTCTGAGAAGTCAACTTAAAATAGTTCTTATACAATCCCATCAATAAAATCAATGCCTGGTCTTGCACTAAATATTTCAGTGAAAATATTCCCCCACTCTAGTAGTCTCACTGTCTACAACACATCAATTTTAGATTCATCTACTTGGCTTTCAAGCCCCTTCCTATACTGGGTCCTATTTTATTGTCTAATTTTACAGACACGGAAGCTGAGACCCAAAAAATAAAACCTTCCAAGCCACAAGCTACCCCTGGCCCAGTGCTCTTCTTACTAGACTTAGGAGACTGGTCTAAAAAGCTTTATTCATGTTGTTTCCTCCTCACCTAGAATGCCCTACTCCAACCATATTAAATCCTACTCTGCTTTCAAGCCCTCCATATTTTCCATGAAGGCTGTCCCTATTTTGCTTCAAAGAATTGATCATATGATGGTATATAGTTCTGTAGAGCTCTTCAACTACTTCATTTGTTCCCATGCTTAAGCACACTCTTCTATAATATCAGATATAATATCAAATGCAGGCTCATAGATTTTGAGCTGGAAGGGACCTTGATGTGGTGGACAGAGTCAGGAAGAGCTGAGTTCAAATCCCACTTCAGACACAGCTGTGAATTTTAACCTCTATGTCTGTTTTTTCATATGTAAAATAAGTAGTCCATTGGCCTCTAGGGTTTGATTCAAAACAATACATACTCAATTGATGGAACACTAATATGAAACATGGCAGTATTCAATTTAAATATAGGATGTGTATTTAAGAAATGAGGTTTCAGAGCAGCTAGGTGGCGCAGTGGATAGAGCACCAGCCCTGGAGTCAGGAGGACCTGAGTTCAGATTTGGCTTCAGACACATAACACTCACTAGCTGTGTGACTCTGGGCAAGTCACTTAACCCCAACTGCCTCACCAAAAAAAAAAAAAAAAAAAAAAAAAGGATTTCTATCTAATTCTCCATTTTAAACCTTGATGAGGTTACTAGCTTATCTCATTGGAAGAAAAAAGGTAACGCAGAAAAACCAGAAGGGATGGTTGTATTCCTATCGTCAATGCTATTTTATCTACCTTCCTTCTTCCTTTCTATCCATCATTCCTTCCTTTCCTTCTCCAAATAGAGTTTAATTCAAATTTTTTTTTAACTTACTTAGTATGACACCACTGGAAATCCCTGGAATTCCCTGAATTTCAGTCACATTATTTTGGTGAAAGTAATCATCACAGGTGGCATTAAGCACAGAGCTGTTGCAGAAGAGTCCCCAGAGGCGCGTTGCTACCGTTTCATTATTTATGATGTGAACTTTAGCACAGACATCAAAGTCTCGATTTGATAACGTGCGGTTCCCAAGAAGACAAACCCTAAACAGAATGAAAGTCAATTAGAAGAACATACGATAGATCCTGTCTCCTTTCCTCTATTGGCCAAAACCATAGGGAATGCATCACATAGCAAATTTCAACATGAGATCCCCCTCCCCTCTCTCTCATACACATACATACATACACACACGCACACACACACGCACACACACACAAAAAGAACTTATCTTTAAATTCTCATATCTAGGTGACCCTAAGTCAGGCCCGCACCACATGCAACCCACCAAAGCATCCTGCGGACAGTATATTGTACAGACCTGTTTTACGTCCTCTACATTTTCTGTGAGCCCCCCTAAATCTTCTGGCAAGTCACAAGCCGTGCACAGGCTGTATGCTATGCAAGCCTACCCTAAGTGCAATGAAATTTGAAAAGAAATTCTGTAAGAAGAGAAAAGCCATTGCTACATCTGAGGAGCCTGGGAGGCATGGTGGATAAAACATTGAACTTGGAGGCAAGGAGACTTAGGTTCAAATCTAGCCTCAGATACTTGCTTGTTGTATGACTCTGGGCAAATCACCCATCAGCTATTTACTTCAGTTTCCCCAAATATAAAATGAGGATAACCAGTTTTTGTGAAGATCAAATGAGATATTTGTAAAGTGCTTAGCACAGTGCATGGCACACAAGGTGCTATTTAAATGCTTGTTCCCTTTCGTCTCTTCCCTGCTTCCTGAATATACTTTAAAGCTTTAATATGGATTAATGGGATAACCTTTTTTAATCAGCAGTTACTCAGTATTACTGCCCTGTTTATTCTTTAGTGTTTTTTGGTTTAAGCCTGTGATTTTTGTCAAAATGGGGCAATTCACTATGGGGAAAGAAATTCTTTCCATCAATTGTAGATGCCTGTTACTACAGTAGCTATTTAATGCCTGATGAATTGTTTGCTGACTTTATGAAAAACTCAAATATTTCTCTCTCTACACAAACATCTTTCTAAACAAAAACTAGTTTTCTCCATTCTGTTTAAAAAAAAAAAGAAAGAAAGAAAACAAAAAAACCTTCTGTCATTCCCCAGACCTATTACACTATTGACCTGTATGGCCCTTACTTAGCCCCCTGGACACTGTCACTGCCACAGCCCCACATATCTACAGCATATTCCTACATTTAACTTATGGATCGCAGGTCCTTACAGAGAATACCAAGGTGCAAATTAAAATGATACCATCATCAGCTTAAATCAGTAATTCTAGTGAACAAAGAATGTTGACCTGAAAATCCAGAAAATCTCTTCTCTAGAGATTATCAAGACAGCAATGAATCTCACTTACCACTGTTGATCACAACTACTCTGAGAAATCACTTTACCCAACTATAATGTGTTACTCAGTTGTTTTTCAGTTATGTCTGACTCTTTGTGACCCCAGTTGGGATTTTCTTGGCAAAGAGACCGCAGTGGTTTGCCATTTCCTTCTCTAGGTCTTTTTAGAGATGAGGAAACTGAGGCAAACAGGGTTAAGGGACTTCCCCAAGGTCACTTAACTAGTAAGGTCTAAGGCCAGATCTGAACCCAGGAAGATGAGTCTTCTTGACTCTAGGACTGGCACTGTAACACCCAACTGCCCCCAAATATAATTTAGCAATACATTAAACTGAAGTGTAATTTTTAACTGGATTAATGAAATTAAACTTGATCAACATAATAAAAAAGATATCTAACTATAAAAAATATCAATAGTTATATATAACTATATAGTTACATAAGTTATATATAACTATAAAAAATATCAATCTAAAAAAAGTCCTAGTGAAACTTTTATTTATTGACTGATGGATTGGCAGCATCTGGAGCTATGCTAATACTGATCGTGGATGACCACATACATTAACAGCAGCAATGGAAGATTAAAGCTAGGCAATGTTAAGAGAGAAAATAAGTTTAAGGTCTCAGACTTCAGGGTTTGTGTAAAGACATCAATTGAAAAAAGCCATTCTTTGAGTGCTTCAGAGGCTAGGTAGTGCAACGGATAGAGCTCTGGATCTGGAGTCAGAAGGACCTTTTTTTTTTTAAATCCAGCCTCAGACACTTACTTGACAAGTCATTTAACTTCAGCCTGCCTTGATTTCCCCAACTGTAAAATAGGGATACTAATAGCACCTATCTCAAAAGGGCTGTTACGAGAATCAATTAAGTCAGATAGTAGATTAAGAAAAGAATGCTCCAAAAAACATCAGAGTGAAGTAATACGTGATATGTGGATTAAATAGTCTTCAAACCCTAACAAGGCCATTCACACTTGGTTCTTTAAGGACAAATAGTCCTCATCCTTTTAAGACATCAAAACAAAATAATGGCAAAAGATAACTCCTTCAACTCTCTTTTGTTTACAACAAATATCATAAATAAAAACCACAATGATAACGAATCCAAGGTACATAACTGATTGGAAAAAAACGTTGGGAGTAGGGGAGAACGTCACTGAAGGAATCCCTTCTCTTCCCCCCCCCCCAAAAAAAAACCCCTGCATACCTGACCACATACACGTCAATCAACACAAGAAGGTTCATGGAAGATTGCACACACTCGCACGTGTGCAAGAACAATGAAAAATTTCCAGAAGCAGGTAGGACTGGACCACATCACACATCAAGTAATTAAGATCTCACTCTAACTACTCAACAGTGTGCTACACTTCCAGCAAGGATAAGGGCATCTTACGGAATGTCCGGGGGATCAAAAGCAGTCTTGATGACACCAGCATAGATGGCAAGAATCGAGAGGATCACACAGGCCAGAAATACCAGGGCAAGCTTGTTGACGTATTTTACGCCGACAAACACCACCATGGCCATCAAAGCAAGTGTACACGTCCCATAAACTCGCATATTGTTGAGCATGGCTCTACTTTCTCCTTCAATGTCTTCAGCATGAAATACAGCAGCACTAGGAGAAATATAAGTCTGCAGGAAGGAAAAAAACACATTCACGTGAAATTTCTTGGAAGTACACATTTTTCTCCCCTTTCAAAAGATAAAGTTTTTCAATCTTTGTAAGTTGGACACACCCCAAACATGCAAATTTTCAGGGTGGGGTGGGGGTGTCTATGACCTTAATTTCATCAATTAAGTTTTCTAAACAAAAAGCTGGTCAAAAAAAAAATTAGAGGGGAAAAAAGGGGGAAGGAAGCTATACCTAACAGTCTTTTCTGACCCTCAAATTCCCATCTATTAAAAAAATCCACTCATCTCTAATTTCTACCTGGTGACAGTTTATCCATCCCTAAAGAATCAATTCCAGGGGCAGCTAGGTGGCTCAGTGGATAGAGCTCTGGCCTTGGAGTCAGGAGAACCTGAGTTCAAATTCAGCCTCAGATACATAACACTTACTAGTTGTGTGACCCCGGCCAAGTCACTTAATCCCGACTGCCTTACCAAAAAGAAAAAAAATCAACTCCAACGCTACCTCCACCATGAAACTTTCTCCGATCTTAATCCCTCTCCATCAGTAAATAATCTCTCCCTCATTTGTATAGTATTTTGTATTTCATTCAGGCATGTATGGTCTCATCTGCATATTTCATCATCCCCACTAGGCTGTTGCAGTGACATTTACCCCTACCCTACATCTTCCCTGTATGTACATAAAGCATTTATTAAGTTTTTCCCATGCGCCCAGCATGGCACTACCACAATATATCAGACACAGTAGGTAACTGGGAATATGATGGTAGGCTTAACAGAAATTCACAATCTTAAGTCCTATCAAAGAGACCTCCAGAACGTCCCTTACCTCTATCATCTTCACTCCCTCACACAGTTACCACCCTAAATTCAGACCCTTGCCAACCTTTTTCATGGACTATTTTAAGAGGCTTCTTGCTTCCAGTCTTCACCCCTTCCCATTTCTTCCTCTACTCATAGTAGATAAAATAGTCTAAGGCTCAGGCCTGGGCATATTACTCTCTGCTCAAAGCTTCCTACTGTCCTTACCAAGATAAAATACACAGGACCTCCACAATGTGGCTCCAAACTATTTTCTTCCCCCAGCCTAAATCTCCTATCATTCCCCTTCATGTACTCTTCAATTCTAAGCCAGCTGGGCTACGCGTAATTCTCTAAATTAGATATTCCACGTAATGTCTCAGCTGATGTGAACAAGCCACCCCAATGCCAAAAAATGCATTTCTTCCTCCTTATCTCCGCCTCTCTGAAAGCTTCCCTCAGCTCATACACCACCTGCCCTATGATACCTTCCCTGATTCTAAACCCTGCCCTCCCCAATCTATTAATGAATGATCTCTCTCCTTCCTCATATTATCTTATTACAAGGAGGGGAACTGTACATTTGTGACTTAATTATAATAATTAATACTTATCTTAATAGAATAACCCCAGTGGTGGTAGTAGTAGTAGCAGTAGTAGCTAAGTGCATTATAATTATTATCTCATTTGATCCTCACAACAACCCTGAGAGGTAGGTGTTATTATTATCCCCATTTACAGATGAAGAAACTGAGGCAAACAAAGGTCCAGTGATTTGCCAAGGGTAACACAGCTAGTAATTATGATGCCACATTTGAACTCAGGTGTTCCGGACTCCAGGTTTGGCACTGTTATCCCTGGTAGCCAGTATGGAAGGGGGTGGGGGTGTGTGTGTGTGTGTGTGTGTGTGTCTGTGTGTGAATTCCCATTTATAGATGAGAAAACTGAGTTTCAGAGATACCAGATTACACAGTGAAGATAAGGCTAATGACCCTGACACAGAGCTCAACCAACTGGCCATGACAGGAAATCTAACTCTCTCTTAAGATGAAGCTATCAAAGATATAGCCAAGACTATCTCAAGCACCCATATACTGGGGTACACTAGCTACATTTTGTTGTTTCTGTAAAGCTGCTGTAGAGTATATGTCCCTATATGGGTGGGAATGATGATAGGAATTCTGAAAGGAATTTGCTTCCATGTCTTTGTACTGACTGTCCTACATACCTGGAATTCACTGTGGGCTTATCTCCAACCTTTTCAAAACTGTCCTATGTGGGTGAGTTTCCTTCTGTTCTCTTCTGTGCATTTTAAAAATGTTTCAATGGTCTTCTTCTTTTTTTCCTGGCATCACTACTGCTAAAAAGTATTTCTCTCCCAATCCCCCACCCAATGAAAACAGGGGTTTAAAAACACTCATAATTAAACAAAGCTAACAAAATTAATCCACTCAGTGGTCATGTCCCAGAATGTGTACCTTATTCTGTGCCTTGAGTCCATCATCTTGCTGTTAAGGGGTGAGTGACATGTCTCATTGTAAGAATGACCTTAATTTTACATGTCTATTGGCTCATTAGCTATATATGAGAGCTGAATTTTGCCTTCCACTGACAAGTTAAATGACTGCCTTTTACTTGGAGCCTGAAATTTAACACTCACTCTCTACCAGTGACTTAGTCTTGAGTCACCGAATTTCTGGGCTAGAAGGGCTTCTATTTTCATCTACTTCCACTTTATAGATGAAGAAACTGAGATCTGGGGAGGAAAAGGACTTGCCCAAGGTCACACAGGTAATATGGAATAAATCCAGGATTGTAACTCAGATCTTCTTATTAAATTTAGTGCCTTTTCTGCTAACAGATGTTGCTTCAGATTTAGCAATTTTTATTAACATCTTACCAACAGCCACACATGGACAATAAATTAATCCAACAGGTGCAGCTAGGTGGCGCTAGTGGCGCAGAGCACCAGCCCTGAAGTCAAGAGGACCTGAGTTCAAATATGGCCTCAGACCAACACTTGACACTTACTAGCTCTGTCACCCTGGGCAAGTCACTTAACCCCAATTGCCTAAAAACTGGAAAAAAAAAATCCAACAACGCTAACTTTTTTTTAAAGAATTTTTTTTTGGGGGGGGTGGCAATTGGGGTTAAGCAACGTTCCTAGGGTCACACAGCTAGTAAGCATCTAAGGCTGGATTTGAACTCAAGTCCTCCTGACTCCAGAGCCAGTACTCTATTGGTGTCATATAATGGTCGCCCCTATATATGGCATTTTGAAAGATAAATCCTATACCCATACATTTTGTTGGTTATTGGTGTATTCAAGTGTTCTAATCATTAACCTTTAAGTCTACTAAGTCATCGTGGTATGTATGGAAGCAAAACTGAGTTTCCCAACACTATGAGAATAGAACCCAAACTTGAACAGATCTTAATAAGCTAGCAAAGTTTGTAAGCTTAGGCCCCAGTGACAGATGGTAAAACTGTTTTCCAAGTACTAACCTAGCTAAGTCCAAGAGGGTTTACCACTTAAGGATAATGACGTTTCTGGCCATAGTAACTAAAGCCCCAGACAAGTATGATTTGTGTCTGTGGAAGAAGGACCTGCATTAACAAAGTCATAGAATGAAGTTTTGAAGTAGTCCCTCTTAACTTCCAAAACATTTTATGCAATTTTAAGGCATTTTTTAGACATTAAAACATTCTATCCTATACAACGCTTTCCAGTTTAGCTTATACTATTTTGTGTGGGTGTGTGAGAGAGAGTGAGAGAG